CATCAGGTGGGAAAGAGGAGATGGTGTGTACAACATCAGGTGTGAAAGAGGAGATGGTGTGTACAGCATCAGGTGTGAAAGAGGAGATGGTGTGTACAACATCAGGTGTGAAAGAGGAGATGGTGTGTACAGCATCAGGTGTGAAAGAGGAGATGGTGTGTAGAGCATCAGGTGTGAAAGAGGAGATGGTGTGTACAGCATCAGGTGTGAAAGAGGAGATGGTGTGTACAGCATCAGGTGTGAAAGAGGAGATGGTGTGTACAGCATCAGGTGTGAAAGAGGAGATGGTGTGTACAGCATCAGGTGTGAAAGAGGAGATGGTGTGTACAGCATCAGGTGTGAAAGAGGAGATGGTGTGTAGAGCATCAGGTGTGAAAGAGGAGATGGTGTGTACAGCATCAGGTGTGAAAGAGGAGATGGTGTGTACAGCATCAGGTGTGAAAGAGGAGATGGTGTGTACAGCATCAGGTGTGAAAGAGGAGATGGTGTGTAGAGCATCAGGTGTGAAAGTTAAATTACTGATGTATGTAATTCCAATACAGCTGAACCAATTAAGAGGTGCATACAAGCTGTCATAACTAACTATCCTGTACAGTGTAATGACTAATAGCTGCCAGTTATAAACAACTCTTTGAAGGACTTAGTTGTGATGGGAAGACAAGAATAATACATGTTATTAGTCCTGGACACTACAGTGGAAGGTTAACCTGAGTCTACAACATGTTATTAGTCCTGGACACTACAGTGGAAGGTTAACCTGAGTCTACAACAGGTTGGACACTACAGTGGAAGGTTAACCTACAACATGTTATTAGTCCTGGACACTACAGTGGAAGGTTAACCTGAGTCTACAACATGTTATTAGTCCTGGACACTACAGTGGAAGGTTAACCTGAGTCTACAACATGTTATTAGTCCTACTACAGTGGAAGGTTAACCTGAGTCTGGACACTACAGTGGAAGGTTAACCTGAGTCTACAACATGTTATTAGTCCTGGACACTACAGTGGAAGGTTAACCTGAGTCTACAACATGTTATTAGTCCTGGACACTACAGTGGAAGGTTAACCTGAGTCTACAACATGTTATTAGTCCTGGACACTACAGTGGAAGGTTAACCTGAGTCTACAACATGTTATTAGTCCTGGACACTACAGTGGAAGGTTAACCTGAGTCTACAACATGTTATTAGTCCTGGACACTACAGTGGAAGGTTAACCTGAGTCTACAACATGTTATTAGTCCTGGACACTACAGTGGAAGGTTAACCTGAGTCTACAACATGTTATTAGTCCTGGACACTACAGTGGAAGGTTAACCTGAGTCTACAACATGTTATTAGTCCTGGACACTACAGTGGAAGGTTAACCTGAGTCTACAACATGTTATTAGTCCTGGACACTACAGTGGAAGGTTAACCTGAGTCTACAACATGTTATTAGTCCTGGACACTACAGTGGAAGGTTAACCTGAGTCTACAACATGTTATTAGTCCTGGACACTACAGTGGAAGGTTAACCTGAGTCTACAACATGTTATTAGTCCTGGACACTACAGTGGAAGGTTAACCTGAGTCTACAACATGTTATTAGTCCTGGACACTACAGTGGAAGGTTAACCTGAGTCTACAACATGTTATAAGTCCTGGACACTACAGTGGAAGGTTAACCTGAGTCTGTTAGTGGTGGGCTTTAGGCCATAAAAGAAACAAAAGTAAAGTTTCATAATAAACAATTAATGTTAAAAATCAACAAAAGGTACCACAGAAACACACACAAAACACTGTACAGGTATTATTAACAAGGTACAGTACCATAAAGCTCTCTCTTAGTCTATCCCGGTTGTTGTTGCCATGTAGCTAGTGTTGTCATTTACAGTACTTGTGTGGTGAGATAAATCCAGCCTGACCCGATGGTTGATGTCATATTTACAAGTATTTTATGTCATATTTACAAGTAATTTTTCCTATCTATTGGTTGTAGTCTACTGTACAGCATAACACTAGGTGATATAGAGGCTCTATGCTTGGCTCACTCAGAACATACTAACACACAGGTAATCTTCAATGGTATTAAGGAACTTTTCAACAGAATAAACTTCTTCCTTTTCTCAAGAACATCCCACAAATGATGGAGAATCAATTGTTACCAAACTTAACGTAACGGCTAAAGGAAAAACAATAGAACTCGAGGAACCAAAACTAATGATTCTCGTACGTCAGATTACGCGACTTTTCCAAACTGACTTAACATCCCGGCTACGTAGCCTTCGGTCTGGCCAGCCGGGAATTACCGGCTAACTAGCCACTTGTAGTTTAATTACCTGGCACGGACTGTCTATCCCGGTCGATTATATAAATTTTGGTTCATCACTTTGCAATTTTGTAAGATGAAGCCTCAGCACATTTCCTGGTATATGAGAGTAATGGTCATTCATTTAGAATTATTCATGCTCACCAGATTTATCTTATTTCCCCAAATAGAACAAGTGTAGTAGCCATAAATCACACATTAAAACATTCAAGCATCAAACCATCATCTGACTGTTGTGGTGGGAGAGTTGTGATTCAAGTCACTTTGGTAAATATTAAACTTCCTAAAACTAACCAAATTTCTTTCATTACCCCAAAAAATAATTATTTTCTTATCACACTGTATTCCAACATATACTATACATAGATGCTGGTCAATGTACAAATTATCAACATTTTTTTCAAAGGCCTCTTACAGCGCCCTCCCTTCTCATGAACCATCCAGTAATCTACAGTCAACCTCTACAAATAGCCATTGCCATTGACCACGCCTCGGGCTTTCACCGAGCTTCTTCACTACCGCCCGTAGTCGGTGCCTATAGAGACCCTATGCTCCACGTTCTTGAATACAGCCAAAAGTATTACACTGTCGCACTAAATATTTTTTAGGAGTTTTTTCTGTGACAATAATTTTAGAAACTTTACATGATGCTCAGCTGACTCTACACTGGCGTATTAACACTACTGTAACAACACTGACACACTACACGTGCTGGGTGGGCTAGCTACTTGGGTAACTTAGGCTGTAGGCTCGTGCGCTTAGTTCATACTCTGCTGCCATTGTACAACGGTTTTCCACGCTCGCTGCTGTGTTTGTGTACAACTTGTGTTGAGCAATACTGTACTAGAACACAATCAGCCAAGAATACAGTGTTACGACATATAAAGTGATTACAGTTATACACAATGTACAGTACAAAGCAGTGTGTGTGGACAGTGTATGGCTACTGTGTAGAGGTGTATGTACAGTATACAGTGCATGTACAAGCCTTCCTTCATGGAGAGAGAAGAGAGTGACAGTTAGCAACACCTGCTACAGTACAGGACAAAGGCAGGCCATCCTGTATCACCATTTGGCCTGCCTGCACCACTAGCTCAAGGCCTCTTCTGGTGAGTACAGTACATGTGTATGGTGGTGTTTAAATACAGCTCTGTGTCTGTTGGTTGGGGAGACTCTGGGAAAACTTACCCCAATACAGCTCCGAGGATGTGGGATTTTTTCCAGGGCAGAGAAAATTGTCTCAATACCCAGAAATCTCTCGTTCCCAGAAGACCTATGTCAATTACTGAGGCTAACGGGGATGTCACTTTATAGCGTATGTGAGTTGTCATATAGGAACACTGTGCGTATAGTACAGTGTGTATAGAAGGGGGCAGCGACGATAGGGTTGATTTATAGGAGGACCTCCACCTGTTGGTGACTCACTGAGGAGCTCCACCTGCTGGTGACTCACTGAGTACCTCCACCTGCTGGTGACTCACTGAGGACCTCCACCTGCTGGTGACTCACTGAGGACCTCCACCTGTTGGTGATTCACTGAGGACCTCCACCTGCTGGTGACTCACTGAGTACCTCCACCTGCTGGTGACTCACTGAGGACCTCCACCTGCTGGTGACTCACTGAGGACCTCCACCTGCTGGTGACTCACTGAGGACCTCCCACCTGCTGGTGACTCACTGAGGAGCTCCACCCTGTTGGTGACTCACTGAGGAGCTCCACCTGCTGAGCTCACTGAGACCCCACCTGCAGTGACTCACTGAGGACCTCCACCTGCTGGTGACTCACTGAGGAGCTCCACCTGCTGGTGACTCACTGAGGACCTCCACCTGCTGGTGACTCACTGAGGACCTCCACCTGCTGGTGACTCACTGAGGAGCTCCACCTGCTGAGGACTCACTGAGGACCTCCACCTGCTGGTGACTCACTGAGGACCTCCCCCTGCTGGTGACTCACTGAGGACCTCCCCCTGCTGGTGACTCACTGAGGACCTCCACCTGCTGGTGACTCACTGAGGAGCTCCACCTGCTGAGGACTCACTGCTACCTGATGCCAGTTTTAATATTTTGTTGGGTTAACGTGAGACAAGTTTACTAGGCGAGAGGCCCAGTACTACACAAGGGGTTACACTGTCTTGGTGAGGCCCAGTACTACACAAGGGGTTACACTGTCTTGGTGAACATGTCAAGGTGAGAGACTATGTGTCCTAACAGGCCGAGGTAAACAGTCCACCTCGAGCTTTAAGACACGTCAGAGAAATGTATAAAATGAACGTTTACAAAAATAGGAGTGAAGAAATCCAATGAAAAAAGGAGGGAAGGAGAGAATGAGTGTTTTTAGATAATATGACAAGAGGAGAATAAGGCACAATCAAGAACTGATAAAACAGACAGAAGAAAGGAACAAGTGGGAGGAAAGTGAGGATAAAGACCTGCTGATGATGACTGCTTGTCAGATATTATTAATATATACACACAGTCCAGCCTTGACACAACTCCCAGCGGTGCCACTTTAGGTCAGGAAATTGAAAGCTAATAATTATATAGTGTGAGGGAAGCATGGTGCTGTTTATACTGAACATGTTTATAATGATGTTAGCGATGCAGCCTCTGACTCTCACGGCCAGGGATGAAGAATAAAGCGGACAGAAAGCAATGCATGCAAATCATTCCGTACCAACTGTCTGAAGATCACATGTGATATAACACAATAAGGTACAGGGAGACTGTCATGGATACTGTAGAGCACTGTAAGAAAAGCGGCCATACCTGTTTGTGGGCGAACCGCAAGTTTCGTATATCCTTACAAAATATCTCAATACCGTAAGAGTTTTCGCCACGACTAGTATTAGCACCGCCCACCTTCTCTATTCTGGACACCTGAAATGTACAAATATACATAAGTACAATACTAACAAGAAGTGAGATGCAGTATTTACCCCAGCACACAGTCTGTGTTGCCTGTACATCAAGAGTTGAGGCACAAAACAACCTGAGCAGATGAACAATTGTCTAATGACCCGACAGTTGACATTAATCAGTGGCAAGATACACTACCCATTCTGACAACAATGTTATGCCTTTCCCTCCAGCCAACTGTGGCATCAAGTAAACAAATAGTTACTGTCCTGTGCCAAGACCAGTAGAGAACCTGGTCAATTTGTTACACCCTAAGATTCATATTGAATCTCAATGATTATAATTATTTACCTGCCATGTCAGAGCTTTACCCCAGGAAGAGTGAGGCAGTCCCACTAACTTGTTTGTTAGCTGCCTCATGCCTCACATCACCTCACCCAGCTCAGATATGTTATAAATGGCCCATAAATTATTATATACAACAGTGTACCAAAAATTTATTAATATCAACAATACAGTACCTGGTAGCTGCATACCTTCTTTAAAGTTGTAACTGAAGTAAGAAACTATTCATAGTACAATAGGATAGTTTAAGAGACCAACCATCACACACGCTAAGATATTCTAGTGTACATGTTTACTGTACATCATCAACAGTCACATACAGCACCACAGAAGGAAGGCCTTAAGTCACTTGATCAAAGTGTCTACAGCAGCTTCACACAGGCATGGTGGTGTAAAGGATCAAGCAACTATGAAGGTTCTGGGGTGAGGAAGACCTAAAAGACCAGCCCAGAGACTCTTCTGTCGTGGCACATTACTGTACAAGAAGATACAGTAGTGTAGGCAGAACAAGCCTGACATGTTAGACTTACAGTAAAGTACTTCTCCATGACTCACCACACCCAAGGGCACTTCTAACTCAAAGGGAGGATCAGTTTCTGGACTGCGAAAGTACAGACGATAATTGGTGACCGAGAGCGTCCCTTTCTTTGGTCCCGTGTACGGACAGAGGTAAGTGACCTCCCGGGCCGTCCCCTCCAGGTGCTCCCCGGGGACTAGTGTTGGCTCGTCCGGCCGCAGCGTTCTGCTCCCGTCGCGCACTGTCATCTGTAACCGAGGTGAAGTCAAGTCACTGATAAATATTATTGGTTTTGTGTGTCAGTTCCACATATTATTACCAACATGTTTGTTAATTAAGGCCTAAATAATAACAAGAGCTTTACTGAACTGATAAAAGATACCTTTTTTTAAACATAATACTATACAGCAATAAAATATCAATCTAATGTTGCCACACCCAGTAGCATAAGACTTCCTCCAACAATGATGGTCTTCCCTACCTGACTGTTAATGACCCTACATTATGTTCTCCAGTATTATACAATAAAAGTTCATTAAAATTAAAAAACAAAATTTTGTCTACACTAAACTGTACTGTACCAAATGATGATTACACCAAGGTATACTTTAGATGGCATAAATTACTATGATAAATTAAATGGAATTTGTCCAAACATACTAAATTCACCATCATCAAAATACTCACTGGTACAGTACAGTGCAGTACTAAAGTACAGTACTGTACTGTACTGTGATGTACTATAACTACAGAAAGATGTAGTTGTGGATGACAAATTTATGCCTCAAACGATGACTAAATTCATCCTAGACTCCAGATGATAACTGAGTCACACTCAATTACTGTAGCTGCCCTCCTTACATGTACTCTTGACCAAGTATAGTGTAGTGAAGCTGCAGGAAGCCAACATCACTGCTGTACAGTACTGTACTGGTCAGTGGCGGCTCGTGACTCTAATTCATGGGGGTGCTGCTTCAAAACATTTTTAAGAATTGTTTTAATATTATGTAAGACACACACACAGAAATACAGTACCAGTATATATATATATATAATGATAAAAATAATAAAATACTAAAAGTATGGTAAAAATACAAAAAAAAAACCATTTAACACTTACAGATAAAATACTCCAGTCTAGCTTGATCCAAATTTATTTAAAAATGAAATCCATTCTTCTTGTTTTCTTTTGAGCGAAAAGGTCAACAACTTTCTCATTGATGTTTGGATGACTGTTAAAGAAATTTTTCTCCATTGAAATCATTGCAAGTGCATTTAGCCTTTCCTGATTCATAGTGCTCCTCAGAAAAGTTTTTATTCTTTTTAATGTTGAAAAGCAGTGTTCAGGCTCTGATGTAGTCATAGGAATTGTCAAGAGGATTTTTATCAGTTTCGTAATCTCACTAAGAACACCATCTAAATTATTTTCCAAGATAAATTTCAGCAGGTTAATTAACCTGCAATATTCATGCATATCGGACCTACTGTAGAATACTCTAAGTTCAGTTTCTAATTTGTCTTTGTTACTCATGGGATATGCCTCAGTGGTCAACCCTATCTCTTCTGTAGGCAGTTTATTCTTAAGACTAGTGAAGCTTTTCTTGTTGAATAATTTAGCAGCTACTAATTGTTTAGTGAAAGAATATCTCTCCCCTATATCAACACACATGCAGTCACATACTTCCTTTGCTTCAGCCATGAGCGTCTTTGAAGGATTCTCACAGTACTTCGAGTTTCTTATTTCTAAAATAGCAGTTTTGAAATTTGTTATATATTCATGTACTTTAAACACATCAATTTCTCGAGACTGCATTTGGTTGTAAATTACTTCAACGTGAGGCATGATCTGATGAAAAAACTCCAACCAGAACATGAATTTTTCATTATTCAGGTAATGCAAAATTCCTGTTGCTTCTGAAATGGTTCGATCTGCATTTACCGTCGACTGGATTTCAGCAAGGCAGCTTTTTAAAGGTTGCAAATTTTCATGAACTTTGTTCACGGTCCCTATGTTAAAGTTCCACCTTGTAGAGGATGGGCGCGGAATGCCGACGTTTGTGTGCTTATTGAAAATGGATACACGTTGTGGTGATCTTGAGAAAAATGTTGGTATAGCCAAAACGTTAGAGAAAAATATTCTTGAGTCCCGCGTAATGCTTGCTGCATTTCTCATTATCAGATTCAGTTGGTGAGCATAACAGTGAATGAAATGTGCATTATTATAAACTGCTTTTATTTTTGCCTGAACGCCCCCCTTTTTTGCCTTTCATGACATTTGCACCATCAAATGTGTGAGCTATCAGTTTTTGTCTATTTCCTTGAAGGATTATATCTACCTGCTCTAGAATACGCCATCTACAGTTTGATTTTCTGGAATAAAGAATCCCCCAAAAACGCTCAAATATTTCTTCATTCAGCACGTACCGTAGAACAATTACCACTTGAGTGTGTTCTGAAACATCTGTTGTCATCAGCCGTGACAGCTACAAATGAAGCTTCTTTAATCTCTTTCTTTATCTCATCATGGTATAGCTGCAGCAGGCAGTCAAGTATCTCATCCTGAATAGTCTTAGAAACACCTGTGAAGTCTGTACTTGTTTCTAAATGGTTCTTTAAATCTGGGTCTAATTTAGATGCAAAATTTATTAATCCCCTAAATACACCTGGATTTACTGAATCATCTTTTTCATCATGTTCACGTAAAGGAATTTCAAAGTTTCCACAAAATGTAATGCAGTCTATTATCTTGGATAAAATTTCACGGTTCTTGGTAACCTTCCTGTTATGCTCATTGATCAAAAGTCTATAGGCTTCACTAAGTTTTTCTTTAATATTTACACTTCCTAAAAGTGATAGTGAAACCACGCTTTCAATATGCTTCTTTGACTTTTCATGTTTTTCAGTTTTTTCTTTCATTTTGTTTATATTTCTAAAGCCGTCTTTTGTCCAAGTTACATCACTTCCAAACAACAAACACGGAAAACAAAATAATGTATTTTTTACTTCACAACCACAGAGCCAACTTTTCCTTTGGTACCGTTCTGAATGAAAGCTACGAATATACCTCTTACTGTTGCTTATTCCTGGCTGAGATATTTGAATATCAGGTGAGGGACGGCCTCTTGTCTTAATACCAACTTTCTCGTGAAGAGACAACTGTGAAAATTTAAGTTGTTGAAGTTCACTCACTGTCACAGAACTTGTTTCTTGGGAAAACAAGGAGGCCATGTTTAATTAATTCAAATTCTTCTACACAATAAAGTTTCTGGAAAAAACAATGAATACAAAATGTAGTCTCCATGAGTATGAATCATACGCATCATCCTGTGTGGTGCTTACGTGCCGTCTGCTATATCAAGAGTATTTAAATGTGATCAATTGTAGATGATGTGATATCATACTGTATGATATCACATCATCTACAATTGATCACATTTAAATACTCTTGATATAGCAGACGGCACGTAAGCACCACACAGGATGATGCGTTAACACTACGTCCCACACTGATAACCAGATCGGCACTGAGTGAGCCACAGTGCTCGCCCCCGCTTGCCTCCAGGACATAGCAGCATGCATGAGACAAAGCAAACACCCGTTATTGGAACTGTCGAGTAAGACAGTTCCACATACAGGGATTTTTGTTGTTTTCTCAGAATTAGAGGATGGCCATTGACATAAAAGTTTAAGGATTATTGATAAGTGTTAAATATCTTGTACAAGTATAAATAAATAAACATATACGATATATTATATTATATAATACATATATATCGGGTGAAATAGGGGGTGCTGCAGTTCCACAGTGCCCACCGACGAGCCGCCACTGGTGCCGGTACACAGCTTCTCTTGTGGCCAGCGCAGCTACCCTCCCCTGTGGTACAGTACTGCATCCTAAATTACTCACTTTGGAAGTGGCGTTGAGGACATGCGAGAGTTGGTGGTGGCGATGTTGGTCAGTAGAGGTGGAGCTTGAAGAGCAGACGCTCTTTGGGGGGGAGGGAGACCCCGCCGAGGGTGACCCCGCCTGAACCCCGCATGCAAACAAAAGTAAAGAGTCAGACACTAAGCTATGCAGATATGACATTATCAGATCAGCCACACATTTTGATGCATTTTATGTCACTTAAAAGGGATATCATGTAGCCTAAAACTCTTATTCATTAATCCTGAAATACATCTTTCCTGCAGAAGCCAAAGTCAGGCAGCTGTTGTACAGCACTGGTCTGCCAGCGAGCCTGACACTGGAGCTCCTAATGTCAACTTCTTTACCTAAAGTATGTCATTATAGTAGAGGGTAACATCCTCCACATGTGAATCTCTTATCTCTTCATAACACCCATATATTATACTCTAGTCTTATATTTATTTATTCTTAAATTATCATGTACACAAACCCTACAAGACCACCTCCATCATCCTACACATGTGGTGACTCATATAACAGACTGGGGACACATATAAGACCACCTCCATCATCCTACACATGTGGTGACTCATATAACAGACTGGGGACACATATAAGACCACCCCCATCATCCTACACATGTGGTGACTCATATAACAGACTGGGGACACATATAAGACCACCTCCATCATCCTACACATGTGGTGACTCATATAACAGACTGGGGACACATATAAGACCACCTCCATCATCCTACACATGTGGTGACTCATATAACAGACTGGGGACACATATAAGACCACCTCCATCATCCTACACATGTGGTGACTCATATAACAGACTGGGGACACATATAAGACCACCCCATCATCCTACACATGTGGTGACTCATATAACAGACTGGGGACACATATAAGACCACCCCCATCATCCTACACATGTGGTGACTCATAACAGACTGGGGACACGTGACAAGACCACCCCATCATCCTACACATGTGGTGACTATATAACAGACTGGGGACACATATAAGACCACCCCATCATCCTACACATGTGGTGACTCATATAACAGACTGCACACATATAAGACCACCTCCATCATCCTACATGGTGACTCATATAACAGACTGGGGACACATATAAGACCACCCCCATCATCCTACACATGTGGTGACTCATATAACAGACTGGGGACATATAAGACCACCCTCCATCCTACACATGGTGACTCATATAACAGACTGGGGACACATATAAGACCACCTCCATCATCCTACATGTGGTGACTCATATAATATAACAGACTGGGGACACATATAAGACCACCCCCATCATCCTACACATGTGGTGACTCATATAACAGACTGGGGACACATATAAGACCACCCCCATCATCCTACACATGTGGTGACTCATATAACAGACTGGGGACACATATAAGACCACCTCCATCATCCTACACATGTGGTGACTCATATAACAGACTGGGGACACATATAAGACCACCCCCATCATCCTACACATGTGGTGACTCATATAACAGACTGGGGACACATATAAGACCACCCCCATCATCCTACACATGTGGTGACTCATATAACAGGACAATTGAACAAACACTACATGCATCTTTTCATCTCATCTATTAAACACACTGTACTGTACTGGCCTTTTACCACTGGGGTGCAAGGTGGTGATAATGAGAAGGGTTATTTCACCATCAGCAAGCACGGCCATCGGTGTACAGTTCTGCAACTCATTAACTGGTCGTGTATGGTACTGTACAAGATGGGAGCCCAATCTTCAACTCTAGTCAACAACTGAATCTTTGACCGCTCACAAAACCGTAATTCAATTTGATTAATTTTTCTTTCACAAAAACTAACAAGAAATGAGACAAATGCTAAGTCAGTGCAAGAAGGGTATACAGCACATGTTCCTCTATCTCTTTACACAGACTATGACCACCAGCAGGTACTAGTAATAATGTTCATATAAATAACCTTCAGTTTCAGGACAAAATTATAATAACAAAGAGAATCTGATAATGTCACATGAGAAAGACAAGCTGTGAGTGGCGTCTAAGGCACAGGATAGCGGAGAACATTAGACCGTCTGTTGAGATAGCCGCGTCCACGAGAGAGACTAAGGTAATCCTGGATACTAAGTCAGAATTGTAACACTGTAGTTAAACACTTAAAAGCTAAGCATCACTACCCTTTTAATAGTGAGGCATGAGTACTGTACAAAGCATGCCACTCCATCACCACTACGAGGGGGCTCACTGGGTCAGCCTTCCTCTCACCCCTTCACTACGGGGAGACAACTTTCAATAATTTATTCAGCTCAGAGGGGGACCAGTAAAAGATAACCTCCCTGTGTCTACTGTACCTAGGAAGCATCACTACTGAGGCATATATACAACACTCATCTTACATTAAACTGAGTACTGTAGGAATTCACTTCAGAAGCAGATGGCTATTTTATATACAGGACAAACTGCAGTGACCAACATGGGTGGAGAGTATGCGAGTGGTGTCACATTGATACTGACACCTGACACATGGCACCTGGGTTGACTATCATACCATATAGTTTGTTTCAGAGGTTCCAGTTGGTGAGACTGTTCTCATATTCAGCCCCTTATAACACCTACTGCCAGGACCTTATAACACCTACTGCCAGGACCTTATAACACCTACTGCCAGCCCCTTATAACACCTACTGCCAGGACCTTATAACACCTACTGGCAGCCCTCAGTGTGGTGGTGACTCGTACAATAATTATCAGGCATTACAGAACAGTACTGCACTACACAAGCTTGGTGGTGGTGACAGCATTTGTTCTCAATATAAGTTATTAGTAAAAACTGTCAACTGCCAGCATGCCAGATAGGAGAGTTTTTGCTGTACAGGGGATCAGTATATAAGTGTTCATCATGCCTCAGTAACAAAGCAGAAAAAGCCAGGTCATGTAAAATATGAACCATAGTAAGCATATCAGTCACTGTTAATATTAAAGCTAAAATTTAGTGAGAGATTTGTCCCAGCTGAGATATGAGAGGAGTGCATTAGGGCCCCACTTGGGAGTGAGGATGACTACAGTACTGTAGCTACTGTACTAATGTGTGTCACTTTTAGCAACTAATACTGTACTGTACTGTGCTACACTGTACTGTACTACAGTGTGACACTTTTAGCAACTAATACTGTACTGTGCTACACTGTACTGCACTGTACTGTACTGCACTGTGCTACACTGTACTGTACTAGTGTGACACTTTTAGCAACTAATACTGTACTGTGCTACACTGTACTGTACTGTACTGTACTGTGCACTGTGTACTGTACACTGTGCTACACTGTACTGTACTACAGTGTGACACTTTTAGCAACTAATACTGTACTGTGCTACACTGTACTGTACTACAGTGTGACACTTTTAGCAACTAATACTGTACTGTACTGTGCTACACTGTAGTATACTGCACTGTACAGTACTGTACAGTGGCCACAAACCTATAAACTGTACACAGTACAATATTGTAGACAGATCAAACATTTACTCACCGATTCATGTCCAAGTTTGGAGTTAAGGGAACTTGACTTTGATTCAGAGTTGAGACTTTCATGAGAGGCCATCTGGACGTGAGGCTATGTTCCCAAGGGGGAGCTACCGCTGCTGCTGCTGCCACTGTTATTGCCGCAACTGCTGTTGCTGCTGCTGTTGCTGCCAGTGTTAATGCTGTGACAGCTGCTGCTACTGCTACTAGTGCTGCTGCTACTTATACTGCCAAGCTGACGAGCACCTTTAATCTTGCCTTTGTTTTCAATTCCCCCGCCAGAGAACATAACCCTAAAAGATTATTAAGTGTGTAGCTACAACACTGGCCACCTAACACTCACTATACCATACATGAGTTAACATAACCTAAAAGATGTGTTATTGTGTGTAGCTACAACACTGGCCACCTAACACTACTATACCATACATGAGTTAACATAACCCTAAAAGATGTGTTATTAAGTGTGTAGCTGCAACACTGGCCACCTAACACTCACTATACCATACAGTTAACATAACCTAAAAGATGTGTTATTAAGGTGTGCTACCACTGGACTAACACTCTTACCATACATGAGTTAACATAACCCTAAAAGATGTTATTAAGTGTGTGCTACAACACTGGCCACCAACACTCACTATACCATACATGAGTTAACATAACCCTAAAAGATGTGTTATTAAGTGTGTAGCTACAACACTGGCCACCTAACACTCACTATACCATACATGAGTTAACATAACCCTAAAAGATGTGTGTTATTAGGTGTAGCTACAACACTGGCCACCTAACACTCACTATACCATACATGAGTTAACATAACCTAAAAAGATGTGTTATTGTGTGTAGCTACAACACTGGCCACCCTAACACCACTATACCATACATGAGTTAACATAACCCTAAAAGATGTGTTATTAAGTGTGTAGCTACAACACTGGCCACCTAACACTCACTATACCATACATGAGTTAACATAACCCTAAAAGATGTTATTAAGTGTGTAGCTGCAACACTCTAGTCACCTAACACTCACTATACCATACATGAGTTAACATAACCTAAAAAGATGTGTTATTAAGTGTGTAGCTACAACACTGGCCACCTAACACTCACTATACCATACATGAGTTAACATAACCCTAAAAGATGTGTTATTAAGTGTGTAGCTACAACACTGGCCACCTAACACTCACTATACCATGAGTTAACATAACCCTAAAAAGATGTGTGTGTTATTATGTGTAGCTACAACACTGGCCACCTAACACTCACTATACCATACATGAGTTAACATAACCCTAAAAAGATGTGTTATTAAGTGTGTAGCTACAACACTGGCCACCTAACACTCACTATACCATACATGAGTTAACATAACCCTAAAGATGTGTTATTGGTGTAGCTACAACACTGGCACCAACACCACTATACCATACATGAGTTAACATAACCCTAAAAGATGTGTTATTAAGGTGTAGCTACAACACTGGCCACCTAACACTCACTATACCATACATGAGTTAACATAACCCTAAAAGATGTGTTATTAAGTGTAGCTACAACACTCACCTAACACTCACTATACCATACATGAGTTAACATAACCCTAAAAAGATGTGTTATTATGTGTAGCTACAACACTGGCCACCTAACACTCACTATACCATACATGAGTTAACATAACCCTAAAAAGATGTGTTATTAAGTGTGTAGCTACAACACTGGCCACCTAACACTCACTATACCATACATGAGTTAACATAACCCTAAAAGATGTGTTATTATGTGTAGCTACAACACTGGCCACTTAACACTCACACTATACCACATGAGTTAACATAACCCTAAAAGATGTGTTATTAAGTGTGTAGCTGCAACACTGGCCACCTAACACTCACTATACCATACATGAGTTAACATAACCCCTAAAAGATGTGTTATTAAGTGTGTAGCTACAACACTGGCCACCTAACACTCACTATACCATACATGAGTTAACATAACCCTAAAAAGATGTGTTATTATGTAGCTGCAACACTGGCCACCTAACACCTCACTATACCATACATGAGTTAACATAACCCTAAAAGATGTGTTATTATGTGTAGCTGGCCACCTAACACTCACTATACCATACATGAGTTAACATAACCTAAAAGATGTGTTATTAAGCGTGTAGCTACAACACTTACCTAACACTCACTATACCATACATGAGTTAACATAACCCTAAAAGATGTGTCATGTGTAGCTACAACACTGGCCACCTAACACTCACTATACCATACATGAGTTAACATAACCCTAAAAAGATGTGTTATTAAGTGTAGCTACAACACTGGCCACCTAACACTCACTATACCATACATGAGTAACATAACCCTAAAGATGTGTGTTATTAAGGTGTAGCTACAACACTGGCCACCTAACACTCACTATACGAGTTACATAACCCTAAAAAGATGTGTTATTAAGTGTGTAGCTACAACACTGGCCACCTAACACTCACTATACCATACATGAGTTAACATAACCCTAAAAGATGTGTTATTAAGTGTGTAGCTACAACACTGGCCACCTAACACTACTATACCATACATGAGTTAACATAACCCTAAAAAGATGTGTTATTGCGTGTAGCTACAACACTGGCCACCTAACACTCACTATACCATACATGAGTTAACATAACCCTAAAAAGATGTGTTATTAAGGTGTAGCTACAACACTGGCCACCTAACACTCACTATACCATACATGAGTTAACATAACCCTAAAAGATGTTAGTTAAGTGTGTAGCTACAACATTGGCCACCTAACACTCATTATACCACATGAGTTAACATAACCTAAAAAGATGTTTATTAAGTGTAGCCAACACTGGCCACCTAACATACATGAGTTATAACTGAACAAACACTTCCACAATGGGTGAGTCTTCTTAAAACACTATTTTATAACCAAGAATGGGTCAGCTAGCTACTGTACTGTGTCAGCAAGTATATGGCTGACATGATCCAGACATGGGGTCAATTATGAATAAATGAATTGGAATTGATTAAAAAATCCGTGAATTGGAATTTAAAAATACAAAATTAAAATTAATTGAATTGAATTGAAATTGATATAAATGAATAGCGATGAATTGATAAATAATATATTATACTGTAATATGCGTCTTCATTATTTTGCAATAAACTTATATTCAAATAAAACTAAAATATACTGTTAGCGAGCACAAAATATGTTAAAATATATCAAGTGATGTGTTAATTTTCATTGAACTGAGAAACTATTTCCTGCATATTTCATGTGTTTCTAATAAATATATTTCAGATGTATTTAAGATTAACAACAAGTTCAGTTCTTGTCAGTGGGCCCAACAGTGTAGGTAAACACACGTGTTCAGTACACGTCCTGGCCTGTTGGTCTGTGATTGGCAGTATAAGCTTACCACATGTACATGCTGGAATAGCCAGTTGACAATGATGAGGCAGTTTCACTTGAAGTGTGGGACAAACTTGACACTCTACAAGGTGAAGCAGTATGAGCTGAACACCATCAAGCTGTGATAATCCAGCCATTTGAGAATGTGACTACAGCTGCTCCCTGACTTACGACGGGTTAGGGGACCGACATCCAGGTCGCAAGTCAAAATGGAATAAATAACACATAGAAAATCTAAAATGGGTGTCTTTTTTTTCTCAGCACCACAAAACTCTCACTTAAGCTTGCCAGCCATTTTAAAGTGAATTACAGATAAAATTTTGTCTGTGTACTGACTTTGGGACTCAAATATACATAATTTGACCAAATTTTGGAATGACTGAGAGGTCAAGCGGGTGGACGTGTTTCCAGTAGGGTCGAAGTCGGGAGGAGCTGTACTCAAATTCAGAGACAAAAGATGGTGACATCTAGTCTGGTAGTTAACTGTGCTCGTGGTCGGGCTGCTTTAACTAGTCTTCATGGAAGTGTTTAAGCCAAGCTTGTTCTTGCTTCAGTCCTCAACAGAGACCTGTCTAATAAGTTTGAGTCTATGGAGGCTTCACATTGCCATCTAGACCCACGTTACCAGGTGGACTGATGACAATGAAGCAAGACATTGTGACCTTCTGACTGTGAAATACAATATGTCTGGTGTTGATCCTACAACAACAGACACTCCCCGCTGAACCACCACCATGAAGAAGAGAACAAGTTTTGTCTCCAACCAGTCTTCTACACCAAGACCAACTCACAGAAACTGGGGTCTCACTCTACCTCAACCAGAAATGTCTACAGGATGATAGTGATCCCTGGTACTGGAAGGCCAAGCAGTTTCCTGCCTCACCAGGCTTGCAGCAAGTACCTGGCCATTCCACTACATCGCCCTGCAGAACGACTGTTCTCCATTGCTGCTTCCAGCAGAGAGGGGAATTTAAGATAAAGATTTGAGAACTTATGATGATCAGATGCAATCATCAGTAACTTGGACTCATTCATATTTTGTTTTAGTAATAAAGAATTAAACCAGTTTAACTTTTGTTGGTAAAGAATGTATTGTTTGTGGTAAGCATTGATAAAAATAAAAGGTTTAATTTGAAACCTCGAATTTTTTATTTCTTTCCGTGATTAATGGTAGATTAGAATTGACTTGAAATTGAAAAGCATTTGAATTGGAATTGGAATGAAATATTGACCACAATTAATTGAATTAATTGAATTGAAAGCCTGAATTGAATTGAATTGGAAATGAAGATTACTAATGAATTAGAATTGATTAATTCAAATTTTATTCTGAATTAATTGACAGAATTGACCCCATCTGCTAATCCTGCGCCCCAGGACAGTCAGCCAGCTACTGTACTGAGTCAGTTATATGGCTGACATCCCGTGCTAGGACACTGGGTGCCACTGTACTGTGCATGGTATATTGCTGACATCCCGGTTCCCAGGACACAGGTCAGCCAGCTACTGTACTGAGTCAGCAAGTATATGGCTGAATCGTGCCCCAGACTGGCATGGTTCAGCCACTGTACTGAGTCAGCAAGTATTGGCTGACATCCCGTGCCCCAGGACACATAGGTCAGCCAGCTACTGTACTGACAGCAGGTGGCTGACATCGTGCTCCCAGGACACATGGTCAGCAGTTACTGTTGTCAGCATATGGCTGACACCGTGCTCCCTGGACACAGGTCAGCCAGCTTATCTGTCAGCATATATTACATCCGTGCCCTGACACATGGGTCAGCCTACACTGTGTCAGCAAGTATATTGACATCCTGTCTCTGGACACACAGGCCAGCTACTGTACTGTGTCCAGTATAACATCCCTGCCTTCCGGGACACAAATGGGTCAGCTACTGTGCTAGTCAAAAGAGTATGGCTGACATCCCGCGTTCAGGACACATAGGTCAGCTAGCTACTGTGCTTTCAGCAGGATATGGCTGACATCCCGGTGCTCCCAGGACACATGGCAGCCAGCTATGTACTGTGTCAGCGTATATGGCTGACATCCCGTGCTCCCAGGACACATAGGTCAGCCAGCTACTGTGCTGAGTCAGCAGTATATGGCTGACATCCCGTCTCCCAGGACACATAGGTCAGCCAGCTACTGTACTGTGTCAGCAAGTATATGGCTGACATCCCCGTGCTCCCAGGACATAGGTCAGCCAGCTACTAGCTGTGTCAGCAAGTATATGGCTGACATCCCCGTGCTCCCAGGACAATAGGTCAGCCAGCTACTGTACTGTGTCAGCAAGTATATGGCTGACAGGTGCTTGATCCATGCATGGCTATAAAACAGTATTTGAGTTAACCCTTTACTGTTGCAGCACAGGACTCTAGAGGCTCATTACACTCCTCCCTCCCTCCTGGCTGGAGGACAGACAGACCTGGATATACTGTACAGGTGATGACAGTGAGGCTCAGGTGTTAAAACAATCTGTTGTGTGTTGTAGGGCGAATTATCTTACTAGTAACACAGTACAGCACCACACACAAATAATATCATCTCACCCACCTTGCCTTCACCTTCCTCTGGTTTGCGACAGTACTTACGATGGTCCCTCCGTTAAGCGCCTCGGTTCGCAGATTACAGTCTAGTTACCTTCCATAAGATTCTTAGCCGGTTAACGAGCAGCCCTCGGTTAACGAGTTTCTTCTTGTGACCTCAACATGTAGTAAAAGTACTTTACTTTGGGGTTGTTGCATGTAGAAGGCTCCTGGATGATGATGATGGGAATTAGAATGGGGGTGGAGAGAAGAAGAGAAGAAGGCATTGGGGTGGAAGAGAAGTCACCCATGGTGCCATTTCACCCATAAAATTTTAGTTCACTTGGTGTAATTCAAGATTATTTTCTTTAAATCAACACTGCACTGCATTATATATTGTCAGTATGTAAATAAATTTCAAAATGACCAATAATTTGTGACTACAGAAAAAAGCTTTTTATGTTGAAGAGAGTCTCAAGCAAGATGTTACCTCCACTGAAAGACACAAAGACTGGCCTGTATGCGTGTGTTGAGAGGTTGGATGGTCATAAAAAACTAGCTTTATACTTCAATTATGTTTCAATAATTGTTAAAATGACTAAAATTTAATATAAAACTTTTAAAATTATTGAATAGTACAAACTTCTTGATATTTACTAAAATGTAGGAATTTGGGCCCTAGAAATTACTGTATTAGCGGACTAATACTACAGCTGGTGGACCCCCAAATGCAAGCAAAATCTGTGGAGGTGCTTGCTAAATATCGTTAATCGAGGGATTGCTCGTTAACCGAGGCGCTCGTTAACCGAGGGATCACTGTGCTATACAGTGCTATACAGTACAATACTATACAGTACAGCACATTATTAGCTACATAAATAATATCATTTTTTTGTATATGGTAAACTGTAAGACTAATGTTCTAGCATCTATTTTGCCTGTCATTTAGGTTAAGCAAATGTTTTACCTGGTGTCATTCTAAATGAATCTCGTGTTATTTGAACATTTAATTTGGCAACATTGTAGGTTGGGTTAGATTAATGCATTATTTTGTTATTAAGAGTTGGTAGGTAAGCACAGGTAGCATCTCTTCTTCATCCTCAACACTACATGGGGTGACCCACGATGTTTGCACAAATTTCCTCTTAAGTAATAACAGAAATATTTTATTAGTAAGTTAGTTGTTATTCCTAAAATGTATTGATAAGGTATGAGGAGAGACAGTTAACACCACTAGGCATTTATATATTTCATTCATATCTTCCACAGTTATACTTTAGATGATATGAATTAATAAAACTAATACAACTTTTATTTTTCACTATAAGTATTTTCTCAATGATCACAAATCAGCTGTAGTGGGCAGGGCATGAAGGTGAAGTGGCAGGGCATGAAGGAGGGTGAGGTGGCAGGGCATGAAGGGTTGAGGTGAGGTGGGGGCATGAAGGGTGAGGTGTGTTGTGGGGTAAAACAGTGACACTAAAATAATGTATCTCGAGCTTTGTGCGTGAAGGAATTAGGTAAGGTTCGTTAGGTTTTTTGGTTAGGTTAGGTTAGGTTGGGTTGGTTAGGTTTCTTTGGTTAGGTTAGGTTAGGTCAGGTCAGGTTGGTTGGGTTCTTTGGTTGGTTGGTTGGGTTAGGTAGGTTATGTTTGGTTTGGTTTGGTTGGTTAGGTTAGGTTAGGTCTGTTCTTCATAACCCACAAATGTTAGTAGCGTTTATTTTAAAATTATCATTTTTTAACATATTTCCACAAACTTCAACAGTGCCCACTATAATATAACAGTGAAAATCAGGCGTTTAATAATTGTTTTCCATCAATTTGGCTCGTGGGGTAGTCTATATAACAACCATTACTCCTGTTAACTGTCTACTACCTTTACTGAATCAAGTTATATTTAATAGAATTTCTTGGTGAGAGGAGGGAGGGAGTGGCTGCCAAAGTATTAACCCTTAGTAACATTTTAACGATGCTGTTGTACCTATTGGCTACTAAACTATGGCTACTACAACAATATACTAGAAACAGTTAATATAAGACAATAATAATAATATTCAGTTAGACATAATAGAAGGAAACTACCAGTGAAGGACCCTCTCTCCCTACATTCTTCCCTCACTATTCTTTATAACTCTAAAGTCTAAATCATACAGTAAGTGAAAGATTAATAAAATATGATGTAAAGAAGACATTACTATTAACTTATCGTTGAGAGTAGCAGTAGAGGAGACAGTGGGTGAACCACTCTCCCCGGGTAAACACTTGACAGTCAACACTTGTCCTCCTCTCTCATCTATTGCCTAATATAGTCTTTTATCACACCAAACTTACATTTTTTACTATATATCGAATAATAAAAAAAATATCCATTCTTCACTGTAAAATAAAGTCATATATGAAATTTTCCTAATTAGGTGATATATAATGAACTTTATTTCACATTTTATTTATATTTAGAATTGAATGTAAGAATAATGGAAAGATAAAATAATATATTCTGGAATAAATAATAATTCTTGACTAATAAATTCAGAAAAATAAGTACAGAAAGTATACAACTGTTACTGATCCATTGAACCAGCTGAGAGGGAGGACCTGTAGAGGGGGAGAGTGGCCAAGGATTTCTCTTTATTCCACCCCACCATTCTTCTTCTTTACAGTCACGGTAAGAACATTATAACCAAATAATTCTTCTACACTTACTCCTCTTTAGCTATATGTGTAAATTCATTGATGACAAGATAGTGTAACGGACAAGAAACAATATTTATCAAGTTATCATTCACTGTTGGAGACTTAACGTGCTATAAACTTTCCACCTAATAATAATAATAAATAAATTAACTTCTATTTCTTTGGGTTTATTTCTCTTGTCGTTAAGGGAGAATTGGTGGCAATACGTAACT